TCTCTTTATCATTTTTTATGTTAAAAATAATCTGATATTTCATTATGATATAAATACATTACATTTCAATAATTAATTAATTAATATAATTATATATATAATTAAATATATAAACATAATTCAATATAACTGAGAATCTCACCAAATATACAAATATCTTGCTATAAATTTTAAACTGTAATTTCACAAACGTTTGACAAATATTTACCCCATAAAAAATTGCTCTAATGTGAAAAATCCCATTCTCTTTACTCTAATACAGTAAATATAAATGTAAATACATGTGACATTTTGGGTGCAACTTCAGGTCAGCACTATAATTGCCCTGTTAGCTATTAACCTCATATATTGCCCATTAAGTCTTTACCTCTGACCTTTCGTTCAGGTTCGCAGGCCCAATGGAGAGGCTGCAGGCAGAGGCAGCGCTGCTCAACAGGAGGAGCAGCACATACCTGGTCCGTCACAGAAGCCGAGAGTTTAACGAATATGCCATCAGCATCAAGTGAGTTAAAACGGCACACTTGGTTATTTTACCATGTAATTTAGAAACAACAAATAATTAGTAAAAAGTAGTATGGGTGAATTGAGAAAACGTTTCATAAGAGCAATATTCCACCCACAACAATATTAATCATTAACAACAACAACAAAACCCAAACAACAATAGAACAACTCTATTGTGTGAACAACTATGGTGTGTGTGTTCAAGCGCAAGGCCGAAAGACAAAAGCTGCCCTGTGAGATGCCTTTTTTTTTTCAGTGATTTTAGATGGTCCTGTGTGCTTTCTCTCTAAAAAAAATGTGAGCTCGTAACTTTTAATCCAAGGACTAATGGAGACGCCCCACCCCTCACTATCGACCCCTTCTCCCTGCATGAAAAGCTCTTTGCCCCATGCATTACTATGGCAGCTCCCCATAGGGGATAGGCAGCATCGATCGCAATGATCACCAGAAAATTACTCTCATCATTTATTCATGGCCCACAGGTACAACAACGACGTGAAACACATCAAGATCTTAACAAAGGAGGGACTCTTCCACATTGCAGAAAACAGGAAGTTCAGAAGCATTTTAGTAAGTGCTAATGTTTTGTGCCAGAATATTATTAAAACGTCTTTATCATATAGAGTGAAAAGTAAATGTTACGCTCATATGTTTTTAAGGTCGGCGCAATAAAGATAAATGCTTGCATTATACCAGCTTATTACGTTTGGAAACTCTTTGTATCATTTCTACGATCCCTTTTGTTTTGTCATCTGTTTGCCTTCTAAAGGGCATTAGGAAATCACGCTGCTTAATGTCTCTATTCTGCAGAAAAATCAAATGTCTTTTGTCAGCTTCTTTTTGAAAGCGCTTTTAGATTCGATCTCACAAATGCCAGTTAAATAACATTATTGGATTGCGAATGCTGGAGTCATATTGAATCCGTTCATATATTTATTTTTTATTTTCCCTTTTAATGGCTGTAGATATTTCCCCTTTTATGCGAACTGACATCATGTTGAGCGTATGTGTGTGTTTAATGCAGGAGCTGATCGAGTATTACAAACATCACTCTCTGCGGGAAGGATTCAGGACACTTGATACCACGCTGCAGTTCGCCTACCGAGAGCCGGAGAATGGAGCCAACAGTACGTACTGCGCTAACAAAAACAGAGATTCCTAGTTGCAGATTCACACGAACAACTCAGAAATAACAAAACATGCGCTTGTTATATTTATCACAAAAGCCTCAGGGTGTTTGTTTAATCTTAGTTTGAGTATTGAGTGATTCATGATGTTCTTGATTTTGTGTTCAATAGTTCAAAACACGTGACATTGTTGTGATGGACAGTATCTATGGTCACCAGGGCTGTTGCTATGGTAGCAGAGTTTCTTCATTGAAAGTCTTTGAGCTCTTTGATGCGAATTTGAGACAAAATCTTCACTTGTGTTCTCAGGTGTCTTGATGTTTAGCAATATGATGTCTCTTAGCGTTTTTCGTAACCAGAAGGTACAATTCATGAATTGTACATGAACTAGTATAGCACAAATACTTCTAAGTATGCTTGATTTCAGCTTTGATATATATGATATGTTAGCGGCTATAATAGTAATATATACACTAAGTCAAAATAGCATATTTTCTTAGCGATAGATGCTATTTACACTAAGTGCAAATAGCTGTAGATTCTATTTACACTAAAATAGCAGTATTTTCTGCTATTTATACTACTTATTACAAATAGTGGCAATTATCTGCACCTCAGTATTGTAGTACATTATAAAACAGTATGTAATAATAACATATTGAGTGTAAATTATAATTTTAATTCAAATTATTAAATGGATGCCACCTTATTGGGACAATATAAGCCCTCTCTACACCTACCCTAACCCTACCCGATACTTTTTCAACTTTTTGATTATTTTCTTCATTTTTGTTTAAAATAATTGCCTTTCCGATGTGATTAGATTTGAAAAGGGAGAAAAAAAAAGTTCGGCAAAAGGCAGATTCACACTCCGATATACTGTATATGCACTCTGAAAAAAATATATTATATTATTTTAATATATTTTAGTGAGTTATAAATTGTATATGTAAATATAGCACAAATGAAAAGTCTGCAGGATTCATTTTTGAGTTAAAAACTGGATTTATATGCTTGCAGCATTAGCTAAACATTTACATCAGCTTTTGCATACTTCCACTTGACTATGTTTCTGGCCAAAGAAGTTTTAGACATCTTCTGTCTGTTCGTGGCTTTGTGATAATGAAAGCTCCTTAGAGATCTCTGTTGTTCTCCAGTTATGGAAGAGGAACGAGTTAAAAACCTCAAACGTGGGCTATTAGTAAAACCCTGAACTACTGAGCTGTGCTTACAGCCTGATCTGAGAGTTTATGGCGCATTGCAATCAGTGCTTAAATGAGATTATATTGTAGCTCCATATGTCACAGCGAGGGTCTCGTCACAATTGGGAAATGTCGGCAGATTGAGAAGGGGGGGGGGGACGTCACTCAAACACTTCACTGCTTTAACAAAGCAACTCTGACCAAAGAATGGATCCCCCAGCATGCATTGCTGCTGTTTTCCCTCCTTTTACCTCCAAGGTCCATTTCCATGCAGCATAGCTTCTTTTAATTTTTTACATCTCAGCGTCTGCTTATGTGCCAATAAATGCAAATTACATGCAATTGTTTTTGAGACGACTGCCAGAGGCACACAAGTCTTTCATGTAAACCTCTGCACGAGACCTTTAAACCACGCTAGCAGACGGGGAACGCCACATACAGAGCATCAGGGGCATCTACTCTAAGTGTAAACATGAACCTGCGTAGGCAGCGTACGGCAAGAGAAAAAATTCAGCATTGCAGAACGGAAGCAGTCTGTACAGTGTGACCTCCAATGTTTTTGTTGGACACAGAAATAATCGTGGCTTTAATTCGCAGGTGAAGGGAGAACAAATTGCTTGATGGTTGCCCCTTCCTTCCTCATATTTATTTATATCCAGGAAGCGCTGGAGATGCTGTCAGCTCTGATGCGTTTCTACTTATATTCCATCGAATGTGAAGCGAGGCACACGGGTTGGACGGCAAATCCATAACCCTGAATATTTACGTTATGGATAACGACGTGATGAAGACAGGAGGTTTGAGCCTGGCAGAGTTTGCAGAATAGTGGGCGGATGGGTGTTTGGTTCTCCTGGAGTGACGTGGGTGGAATCTCAAGTGCCCGTTAGCGGCTTGGACATCACAGGTTGGGTAGTGGTCAGAGACAAGGCCTTTTGAAGACACACAGCATGTGCTCCTGCATAAATTCATGAGCTCGGTTAGCCTCAGCTTGGGTTGTCCCTTCAAAAATTTGAACAGATGTTTAAGAAAGACATGAGATGCTTCTGAACCCAGTCAGAGTTGAACTGCTTGCTAGAGAATGAACAGACGAGTCAGAGGGAAAATAAAGAATGAGAAGTTACAGGAAGAGGAAAATCAATCATGAATTTAAAATTGACCCAATTTATATTCTTAATATGTTTTTATGTCTTACTGTGGATGAAGCTCCACCTCTGAAATTATTGTTATTTTAGCACTATTTTTATTAAATGAAAATTGATCTAGAGGTATTATTTTTAGTCATTATGCTCAAAATGTGGAACCTTTTAAAAAGTAGGCCAGGAACACATGCTAAAACAACGGTTAAGCCTGACGCTCCATGCACACTCCTAATCAGATTGTTCAATGTTCATTGACGTGTTGTTAGTTACACTGCCTTCAAACATATTGTGTTCCTGACACACTGGGGGTCCATGATGCTCTGGGCCGAGCCGGTCAGATGGAGCATCAGATGGCGCGGGGAACTCGCTTCACTGCCACAGTCAAGCACAGACGCTCCTGGAGTTTTAGTAAACACAAACCTTACCGATAGTTCTCGGTGGAACGGGACATAAATATAAACATATTCCAGAGCTGACATTTGTATTCTACTGGTGGGAATCTCTTAGGCTGTTTTCACAATGTCATTCCAGATCTGTATATTTCTGTATCCGATTGGAATCTGATCAAAATAATTAAATATCCACACTGTGTATCGAAACTGATTAGATCCGATTTGTGGTACTCTTTCGTTTTCGGAAATATCTGCATTGGTTTCTATGGAAATTATGTTGTGTTGGTATGTCTACGCCAAAAAAAACAACAACAACATCATAGCAATACAGATGTTGTCTTACAGCATGAATATATGTAGCCACTGCGCTGAACTGCAATGCCTTATTAGGTAACGGCACAAATGTAGAAGATATTCACAGTCAGTCCAAATCTGATTATTTCTGTTTCCGATTGGGATCTGATTTAAATAATTGAATGCCCATATTGTGTATTGCAACTGTTTAGAACAGATTTGTGTGTACCTTGGTGCTGCTTTATTCTCTGCTGTGTCCATCAGTCTCAATATTCAAAGAAGTTTCATGTTATTTTTTTTGTTTAAAATAGAGAAATCTTGATCTCGAAATCAGAATCTTGAAATCGGAATCTCCCACAATTCCGAATAGACAACAGAACAAAATAACTTACTAATAATTTACTAGAGGGTCTGACAAAATGTTAATCGCTGCAGTCTATTTAAAAAATATATATAATTCATTTGAATGCACTGTTAAAAAAAAGATTGAATGAAAGATTCAATGACTCGGTCAGAAACACTTCACTTGTTTCATGACTGGATGAATCGGCATTTTTGAACAAATCTCTTGAATGAATAATTCAATGACTCCCTCACAAAGACTTCACTTGCTTCATTACTGGACGAATGATTTAATGACAAATGCATTTTTTAACAGTCACTTGTCTCCACCTACTGGTGCAACAGCGTAATCAATACAATCTTTATTTAAAGCATCAATTTTCTTTTTTGAAATGCTGATTTCCTTTTTTTTTATATATATATAAACTATACACCTTCATTCAAGTAATTCTTTGAATGTTTGTATTTTGAAATAAGATCGTGTGGTTGTTCGAATCAAGATTGCGATCTTTTAACAATTAATCGTGCAGCTTTACGCTCAAACTTTGTTAAATATGATCAGATTTGGACGGACAGTCTGAACAAGGCAAGGGCAAGTGTCGATGCAAGAAGTTAGCATTTGTTTACAATCTGCTCTGTTTGCTTGCAAATGTTGCGTTTGACTTAAACATGCTTTTTCTTTTGCTTTTCTTCTCTTTACCCTTGCCCCACCCTTACCTCACTCCGCCTCGCCCCACCACGCCCATGCCTCCGCCCACCTCAGCCCCGCTGCTCTGCGGGCTGTCTTTTCTAACTCCCACCGGCTACAGCTTTGTCCCCCCCTCTACTGCCCCATTCTGGTCAGGTACAGGTACACGTTTTCTTTCTCCATTGGTGTCGTTTTGTCAAGGTCGCAGGAGATCTGAGGCTTCCATGTTTACACGCCACCCCCTGCATTTAACCCCGCCTCCCATCTCATTGTGCGTGTCTGTTTATAGATCATCTCATAGCCGCTATCATCTTCTCTAACGCATAGCCGAATGCACCATATGTCCTTTGTCAGCCGTACGACTCTGACTGTCTGACAATATGACTCATCATTATCTCATTCCAGGCAGTTAGCTTATTAGATCTGACATTACGGCGGTTTTTGTCAGGGGAGCCGTGCTGAAAAGGAAGGAGTCGGGCTAACTTTGTGACATCTCTCTCTCCCTCCTTTACAAACTTCTCACTTTGAGCATGACGGCAGCTAACTGGCAGCCAGTTCTCTGTCTGTACAAGTCTTGCTCACTTTAAAACAGCTGAAGAGAAAGCGTCCTGGCACCGAGACGGATCTCATCAACACACGTCTGGCGGGAGGCCTAGCTTCTCTGGCTGCCATTCGCAAAGTCCTCCGAGCCTCTGAAGTCCGATAAAACAAAGGCTCATTTGAATCCGCCACCACGTATTTCCCTCGGCCCACCGCATTTAGAAAGAACCGCCAAGCGGGTCCAACAAAACGTCAGTGAGCTGCTAGAAGGAACATGATGTGTTTTTGAGGGAAAAGTCGTCTGAAATGTAATTAACCCAGTGGATTATGCTGTTGACACATCTCAAGACATAATCAAAACAGCCACTTCAGCTGTGATTGGACCCGTCCCAGATTCACGAGAATCATTTATTTAGAGTGGATGTGCTAAGGCAGGCAAACACATGAAGGAGTGCGGTGATTACAAGAGTCCTTAGGGAGACTGTACAGCCTGACTCCATGCATCCACCCTCTCTTTGTTTGTCTGGTTAATTTTGTCTGATTCTCATCTTCGTTTTTGTCCTGTGATGTTTGCTTCACTCATTTTTTCTTGTCTCTACAGTGTTCACTCCTAAGGTGATGGGTGTGGCGATCGCCCGCTACGACTTCAGCTCTCGGGACACGCGGGAACTGTCTCTGCAGGAGGGCGATGTGGTGAAGATCTACAGCAAAACTGGAGCCAATGGCTGGTGGAGGGGTGAAGTCAATGGACGGGTGAGTGTGTTTGTAGATGCATACTAGCTTACTGCATACTGCATATTATATACTGCATAAATAGTATGTGACGCATATTACACAATGATAGATGTTTCAAACAGTGTTTTACGAATTTGTGACAGTTTCATCTTATGGCATGTTTAGTTGATCGTGTCGTATCACATTATCGTAATGGAAAAAAAATGCTTTTTTTGCATTTTAAAGTAAATTTTGTTAAATTAAAAAAAATCTATAAACAAAATAAAAAAAAACTTCTTATATGTTAGGTAATACGCTACAGATTTTTTTTTTAAAGAAATTAATGCTTTTATTCAGCAAGGATGCGTTAAATTGATTAAATCGACATTACATTTGATAATTTCACAAAATATTTTTATTTCAAATAAATGCTGTTCTTTGAAACTTTCTATTTATTAATGTGCTCAAGCTAGTTATCATCTATCCAGTTTCCGCAAAAATGCTAAGCAGCATAACTCTTTTCAACATGCATAATAACAAGAAATGTTGCTTGAGCAGCAATCAGCATATTAGAATGATTTCTGAATGATCATATGACTCTGAAGACTGGAGTAATGTTGCTGAAAATTCAGCTTTGTATCACAGGAATAAATTACATTATAAAAGATATCAAAATAGAAAATTTAAATTGTAATAATATTTAACAATATTACAATTTTTACTGTATTTTTGAACAAATATCAAATAAATGATTAAAGCATAAGAGACTACTTTGAAAAAATATCAAAAATCTTACCAACCTCAAATCTTTTAATGGTAATCTATGTTAAAAATTATGGATGTTTTTACTTCCAATTCATTTGTCACATTGGAAACAGAAAGTCAGAGGGAACGCATTGCATCTTGTGAATTGCTAAATATAATTTGCTTTACAATATTAGTTCGGTAGATTTAATATTTAGTGGAGGTATATTTAAATTATTTAATGTTTTTAAATATATAAAAACAATATAATGTATAATGTCTATTTTAAAATATAAAGTGCTTCCGGTGCTTACTGTAAATAAATGTGAAAGTACTGTCTGTTTATACTGTCTGTTCATATCATGCTTCTCTTCTCTGATCTGAGAAGACAGACATCCTGTTAAGAATGACAGAAAACTGAAAATGTGGCATCGCTATCGAATTAAGCGGCATTATTTCATACTGAGCCCAAAAGCTTATTTTTACTTAAAGCGCATCGAACTGTCAAATGTTTTTTGAGCCTCTTGAGCCGTCTTATAATGGTTTCATCAGGGAGGCTGTAAGTGTAATTTAGTGAATAAAACGTTCAGGGCTGTTTTATGGATGCCAGTAATAGATTTTGTGATCAGTGTTTTGTACGGTTCCCCTGACTCCTGAAATGGACAGAACTGCCTTTGTAGCTTTTGTATTCATGTGTTGCCTTCGTGCGCGTGAGCGAGGTGTGACACGATAAAACGTCAACCAATAAATCACATCTCTCCCTTGTTAATCTGCGTTTTGTCCTAACCAGCTGTGATTGTCAAGAGTGGTGTTTGAAATTATGTTTTGATGGATGCTTGGTTTCTATTTTTGTTGCCTAGCGATGGACAGTCCAGCCTACAGTAAAATCTAATTGGTCCAAATTCCAGCTTCACATAGTAATAGTATTTTGAATATCAAATGCAGGGCTCAATAAAAAGAATGGACCCATTAGTTGATCTTGTACATCTATTTTTATGCCTTGCAAAATGTAAATGTTTGGTTTGATCTACAAAATGTACATTTTTGTTTCAATCTACATTGTTTTTGCAAATTTTTTATATGATACATTATGCTATTGTGCCAATATATTTTATCCAGCTTACTAACAGATTTTGTTGAATTTGCAAAATGACCTGCGATAGTCTTGGAATAATTTTAGGTGTACTTCCCCTCCCCCCACCCCATTTTTTCTTTTGAGGAAAAAAACACACACATTTTTATTAAGGAATCATTCACTGAAAATATATATTTTTAAATTGATATAATAATAATAATATTTTAATAATAATTTTAACATTTTAATAATAATTAAATAATAAAATCATAATAAATAAAATCATAATAATAGTTTTAACATTTTCATAATTAAAAAGTAGAAAAATAAAATAATAATAAGTTTAAATTTGTAATAATTTAAAAATATTGAAAAAAGTATTAGATTATTAGATAGATTTAAATAAACATAAATTTCACTGTATTATTATTAATAATATTGCTTTTAGCAAGTAATATTATTTAATTATATCTTTACAATTATTAGTAAAAATGTAACACAGTTTTAGTTTATATATATATATATACAGTGGGTACGGAAAGTATTCAGACCCCCTTAAATTTTTCACTCTTTGTTATATTGCAGCCATTTGCTAAAATCAGGAAGCGCTTAAACAATCCAGCGCCGACCCTCCTCCCCTCCTCTTGCAGCAGGCGCATCCTCAAGGTTATCCAGGCAATGAAGTGATGCAAATCCTCTGTAATACCCCCCGCAACCTTCTCCTCTAATCACTCATTCCTTCTGTTCTGTCTCATCCACAGGTGGGCTGGTTCCCCTCCACGTACGTAGAAGAAGGCGAGGAGTGAACGGCTCAGCGATTACGCACAAGAGAAAGGAAACGGAGGGAAAAAATCAGACGGACTGAGTCAGAAAAAGGGCAAGAGATTGGCCGCTCTCTCTGTGTCTTGTTTGTCTATCCTGGAGGACGTGCATGGGGTTTGATAGATGAAGGACTGTCTCTCAGGGAGCAGATTATCAAACACAACCCCAGACCGCATCTTAAAAGACCCTTCCGGGTGCCTGGATGGAGCGTCGCGGGTGAATCTGGGCCTGAGACGGAATGCCGGAATCGGACTGAGGTTACGCCGTGAGCTATTTCTGTGTGCGTGCGGCAGTTTGTCTGCTCATGGGGAAACATGTTTGTCCTGACCTTGCCTGAGTCCTGCTTACCTGCACTATTATTGATGACGCCCCTCCTCGTGTCTGCGCTGCCCCGGAGGTGTTCTCACACACGACCCACCCAGCTATTCTTCTCCGATTAAGATCATAGCTCCCTGCCATGTAGGCTGCGGTAATTGATTGCTGTCTCTTCCCGGTTTCTATCCGACGAAATCTCTCTTATTTTCAGATTTCCACTTTAAAGGAAGGACCGGTTGTTTTGTGCGTCGCGCGCTTATCTCCAGAGATACATTGTGGGCTTGTCACGCCCTGTTTATCTGATTTGCGCGCTACCACATCGTCGGGGACATGCGCAGCGAGACGTTGACAGGAAACAAAAGGGATCGCGGTGACAGGCCTGTAAACAGCTTTTTCAGCAGGGGCCCACGGCCCCGAAAGCATTGTGTCACCCCATCCAGAAGGGATCCTGCTAGATAGCACAGACAGTGCCTTCTCAATCAACTAATGAGGGGGATTTACACACATTTGCAAGAAGAATTGACACATTGCGAAACAATGAGCCAGATAATTCTGTTTGAAATCCACCAGTGGATCAGAAGCCTTGAATGTCTCTAGTGGTGGACCGACCGATATGGGTCTGTGTCCGATATCTAAATTGCAGGGTGACCAATACTGTGCAAATATAATATTTCATAAAAAATAAAATATATATATACAGTATATCTCTCGATTAGCTCACCACTAGAGTCACTGACAAAATCAACCCTTCCGGGTGCCTGGATGGAGCGTCGCGGGTGAATCTGGGCCTGAGACGGAATGCCGGAATCGGACTGAGGTTACGCCGTGAGCTATTTCTGTGTGCGTGTGGCAGTTTGTCTGCTCATGGGGAAACATGTTTGTCCTGACCTTGCCTGAGTCCTGCTTACCTGCACTATTATTGATGACGCCCCTCCTCGTGTCTGCGCTGCCCCGGAGGTGTTCTCACACACGACCCACAATCCCACCCAGCTATTCTTCTCCGATTAAGATCATAGCTCCCTGCCATGTAGGCTGCGGTAATTGATTGCTGTCTCTTCCCGGCTTCTCTCCGACGAAATCTCTCTTATTTTCAGATTTCCACTTTAAAGGAAGGACCGGTTGTTTTGTGCGTCGCACGCTTATCTCCAGAGATACATTGTGGGCTTGTCACGCCCTGTTTATCTGATTTGCACGCTACCACATCGTCGGGGAGATACGCAGCGAGACGTTGACAGGAAACAAAAGGGATCGCGGTGACAGGCCTGTAAACAACTTTTTCAGCAGGGGCCCACGGCCCCGAAAGCATTGTGTCACCCCATCCAGAAGGGATCCTGCTAGATAGCACAGACAGTGCCTTCTCAATCAACTAATGAGGGGGATTTACACACATTTGCAAGAAGAATTGACACATTGCGAAACAATGAGCTAGATAATTCTGTTTGAAATCCACCAGTGGATCAGAAGCCTTGAATGTCTCTAGTGGTGGACCGACCGATATGGGTCTGTGTCCGATATCTAAATTGCAGGGTGACCAATACTGTGCAAATATAATATTTCATAAAAAATTAAATATATATATACAGTATATCTCTCGATTAGCTCACCACTAGAGTCACTGACAAAATCTTTGGCCACGAGTTTGTAAGTCATTTCTTCATTGCATCAAAATAAGACATTGTTCTGTGCTGTTGGATGGGATATTGGCTGTTTTCACATCCTGCTTCATTTCCCTTTGGGACTCATTCTTACAAGATGTTCCAGTGCTGTAACGCACTAGGCCTGTCTGCAGCTACATGTAGATCTGCGTGCAATCTGAACTGGCTCTAAACTGTGATGAAATGAAGTTTTCAGCGTGTTTAGACTGAGTTGAGGTGACAGACTCTATAATCGGAGAAAGGTCACATCAGGAAACAGTCAAAGCGCTGGTTTGTCTCAAATGGTTAGATTAAAGTGCACTCACAAAGGAATATTTATTTATTTGTGATCTAAGAAGAGACTTTGACAGGAAAAGACATTCAAAAGGAATACGGACAAATGACTGAAAAGCTTCAAGCCAGTAGAGAACAGAAATACACTCCTATGTGCCTATAAAGCAGTCCAATGTAAAGCGTCTCCATTTATATCTGGCTGTTCTTTCTTCACGTTATGCTTTGATTGAACATAAAGACGGATCTTTTTATTGTTTTACTTTTTCGTCTTCCCAAAGAGCTATATAATGTATTGAAAAAAAATCTTCAGGAGTTGTCACATGAGCAAGATTTTTTTTTTTCATTCCTGTATAATGAGAAACTATATGTAGAGTAAAAAGGTAAATATTTATTGATATATAGGTCTTTATCTGTGTTATAATGAATTTATAATGTGAATAAGGTATTGCTCAGTCATCTCGTTGTGTGAACTCTGTCTCAATGTAGCACAGTGTAACACCACTAAGTGGCAGCAGCATTACCAGGTGCTTCTCTCTCTTCATTCTCATCTTCATCTTATGAGCTTATAGTTCCTTTTTTATCATCATCGCATTTTCATCATAATGCTGCCTTCAAATCCAGGAACATTTGTATTTATGAACTTTTACACCTCCCAACAACGACTGCTAAAAGAGTAGTATTTTTTGGGAAACGTTTGGAAAAAAAAAAATGTATAAAACATTTTTGCAAACCTGAAATTTTTTTTTTTGTTCATTTCATGATTTAGTTTTAGCTTAAATTGCATACAAAATCATAGTCAACATTCAACATGCTCAATACAATACTACAGTAGATTTCACCATGATCCATTATTAACATTCAGCAATTCTGTGCTCAAAGTTTCCCACCTAATAACTTTGATGTACGCTCAACTCATAAATACGATCATCCTGACACGATTTAAAGGCAGCATAAGGCCCAGTGATATTTAAAGATTCAGTATTTTTCCTGTGATGCCGTATAAGTTATTTCCTCTCTGAGAGGAAGCGCTGTTATGTCACAGAGGATTAGAGTAGATTAACTTCTCATTAGGAAAATCACATTTACCAGCTGTTTACGGCACAGTCAGAAATCGCCTCTACCTCTCCCTCCCTTTATTTCTAAAGGTTAAAGGTCGGTTTTAGCATTGCCAATTTTTTTCTTTCGGGCATCGACTGAAAGAGGATTTTTGGTCTGGCACCGAAATCTGGGGCGAAATCCGTGCCCGAGGCAGATTATGGTCTTCTCCTGGGTGCACGGTTCCCTACACTCTAACTGTGAGCGGTAGAATTGGTTTTCTAAGCTTTCTCACCGGTAGTCTGTTCCCACTCCTCTCTCCCCAGAGATGAACCCTGACAGGACGGATTTAACAGGCTTCCACACATCATTATATATTTATATACGGCAGAGTCTGTTTCAACACAGAGTTGTGGGCCACTAATCACCCAGCGATCTCTAACCTCGAAGGAAAGGGATTTATGCCTCTATTTCCTCTCTCACAATGTTTTCTCCACTCATACCTTCATAATCATATTCTCCACTCTTTATCGAGATGTCTTTCAAACTTTTGTATGTAATGCTGAGGGTGTCCTGTGGGCATACAATTAAGTCAACAAATATTTGCAGTGTTGAGAGTCTCTAAATATCTCATGCTTAAACCGTACTGTCTTTTTAGTAATATTTTTTGTGTAATAATTGCATTTGTGGCATTTTGCGACAATTTCTGGGGCTATTAAATGAGCAAAAAGCCATATTTACTGTATGTAAGCAACCTTGAGTAACAGAAAGCCGGTACTCTGAGGGCTCATGGGTAATGATCTGTTGTCCACTCAAGCCAAAGACAAGCCTGGCCGCAGTGGCCTAACCTGTAGCAGTGCAATCCGAGTGTCCTGCAGCGCCACCTAGCTGCTGTGTCGCACTTCAACTGTATATATGTACAGAAAGTTACAATAAAATGTATATTGCTTCTTTTTGCAAATTGTTACGCAGTCTTTTGTGTAGAAAAACTTGGAGTGAGATGCCATACAAATGGTTGGTGTCAGGGCTTGTTAATCTGGCTAATCAAATAATGAAAATAGAGTCAAAGTGCCAATTAACTCAAAACTAAAAGGATTTGGGGAAATATGAACTCTTTGCTTTTAATAATATGTGACCCTGGACCATAAAACCAGTCATAAGGGTCAATTTCGAGAATTTGAGATTTATACATAATCTGACATTTGAATAAATAAGCCTTTCATTGATGTATGGTTTGTTAGGATAGGACAATATTTGGCTGAGATACAACTATTTAAATATCTGGAATCTGAGGGTGCAAAAAAATCGAAATACTGAGAAAATCGCCTTTAAATTTGTCCAAATGAAGTTCTTAGCAATGCATGTTACTAATCAAAAATTCCGTTTTGATATATTTACGGTAGGAAATTTACAAAATATCTTCATGGAACATGATCTGTACTTAATATCCTAATAATTTTTGGCATGAAAGAAATATTAATAATAATATATAATTATATACATATATAAGCACGATAATTTTGACCCATACAATGTATTTTTGGCTATTGCTAAAAATATACCCAAGCAACTTAAAACTGGTTTTGTGGTCCAGGGTTACATATAATCAAAAGTGTCCAATGGTTTGTTAAACCCACTCTTAAATATTCACTATATATTTCCACTGATGTACATAGAACTATAACAATACATTATTTGCCTAAAGAATTCAAATCAATATTTTATGACTTACTTTCCACTTTAATTCTTATACTGAACCTCCACGTTGGAGCAGTGTTACTTTAGTATTATTTATATACTATTATAATAGTTTTTAATTAGTATTTCGAAGTAGCTTTAATTTTCAGTTTTGTGAAATATTTCTTGATTTGTTTTTAAATCTTACTATGTAGGTTTAATTTATTTTAATTCAGTCTTAATTTTATTTGTTTTAATTTTTTTAAAAACTAAATTTTTTTTCAATTAGTTGCAACGGCAACATCAAATTTTCATTTAGTTTAGGTTTTATCTAATATACATGTTTTATTTTATTCATTCAGCAAAATTTTTTTTTAATAGTTTTAGTTTTATTAAACGATAACTTGGAGTTTCTAGTTTTATAGTTTTAGTGTATTGTTTATAAACTATCCTAGTTTAATATTTTGAATT